GACAGGTGGCTGTAGCCTGCGCATTTGTGTAAATTAACCTCCCCTTTTAGTTCTGTGAAAGGAGAACTCGATTCGTTTAAAGTCACCTGCGTGAAAGGGGCCCTTGATTAGCTTAAAATCACCTGAATTAGCTTAAAATCGTGTGATCTCAATTGGCCTCTGAATCTTTACCACCTGCCCGCGTCCTGCAAGCTCCAGGCTACGTTTTAAGGGGGGAATAACGGGGCTCGCCTCTCTGCGTTACTTTATGTGACCGTAGTTGTAAAACAGAATGAGGGAGACAGTGGGGACTGGGCAGAAGTGTCACCCCCATTTATGCGTTGGGAAGGAGGCTGAGGTGGGAGGATTGCTTGAGCCCAGGAGTTTGATACCAGCATGGGCAACATGGTAAGGCCCCTTATCTACAAAAAAAAAAAAAAAGAAAAAGAAAAATTAGCCAGGCGTGGTGGTGGGTGCCTGTGGTCCCGGCTACTCGGGAGGCTGAGGTGGGAGGATCACTTGAGCCCAGGAGGTGGAGGCTGCGGTGAGCTGAGATTGCAGCACTGCACTCCAGCCTGGGTGACAGAGTTAAGACCCCACATCTCAAACAAGAAGCACCAAAAGGTGTCTGAGGTCAAGCACGGTGGCTCAAGCCTGTAATTCCAGCACTTTGGGAGGCCGAGGTGGGTGGATCACCTGAGGTCAGGAGTTCGAGACCTGCCTGAGCAACACAGAGAAATACCGACTCTACTAAATATGCAAAAATTAGCTGGGTGTGGTGGCAGGTGCCTGTAGTCCCAGCTACCCCCGAGGCTGAGGTAGGAGAATCGCTTGAACGTGGGAGGTGGAGGTTGCCGTGAGCTGAGATCGCGCCACTGCACTCCAGCCTGGGCGACAGAGCGAGACTTTGACTGGGGGGCGGTCGGGGGAGGCATTTGGAACCGTCGCCAAGCTGGGGATGGACCTAGGACAGTGGTGGGGGCCTCGGCAGGTGGAATCGTGATGTGCCCGGATGCGGTAAATAGGGTTTGCTGTATGTGGCCCCAAGCGGGGGACGTAGACTATTGTTTTTTAACACCGCTGAACTCAGACTCGGAACCCAGATTTGCCAGGGCAGCGCGGGACGGAGGCCTCTCCGGGGCTCCGTCTTCCCTGTTCATAGACTGCGAGACGGAATGAGAGTGTCCCCAGGTGGTCAAGTCAGGGACGTGTGTGTGTGTGTGTGTCTGTCTGTCTGTCTGTCAATCTCCTGGGCTCTGTCTTCCCTGTTCATAGACTGAGAGATGGAATGAGAGCTTTGAAGGTGCTGTGGGAGGAGCTCTGGGCATCCCCAGGTTGTGAAGTCAGCACGTGTGTGTGTGTGTGTGTAGCCGACAATCTGCTGGGCTCCATCTTCTCTGTTAATAGACTGAGAGATGGAATGAGAGTGTCCCCCGGTGGACAGCTCAGGGACGTGTGTGTGTGTGTAGCCGTCAATCTGGGGCGGGGGGTGTGTGTGTGTAGCCGTCAATCTCCTGGGCTCTGTCTTCCCTGTTAATAGACTGAGACACAGAATGAGAGCTTTGAAGGTGCTGTGGGAGGAGCTCTGGGCGTCCCCAGGTGGTGAAGTCAGGGACGTGTGTGTGTGTGTGTGTGTGTGTGTGTGTGTAGCCGTCAATCTCCTGGGCTTTGTCTTCCCTGTTAATAGACTGAGACACGGAATGAGAGCTTTGAAGGTGCTGTGGGAGGAATTCTGGGCGTCCCCAGGTGGACAGCTCAGGGACGTGTGTGTGTGTGTGTAGCTGTCAATCTTCTGGGCTCTGTCTTCCCTGTTAATAGGCTGAGATGGAATGAGAGCGTCCCCAGGTGGACAGCTCAGGGGCGTCTGTGTGTGTAGCCGTCAATCTGGGCTCCGTCTGTGTGCGTGCGTGTGTGTAGCCGACAATCTCCTGGGCTCCGTCTGCCCTGTTAATAGACTGAGACGGAATGAGAGCTTCAAAGGTGCTGTGGGAGGAGCTCTGGGCACCCCGAGGTGGTGAACTCGGGGAGGTGTGTGTAGCCATCGATATCCTTTAGGACCTGCTCTCTGTGCCCTCCGAGCTATCCAAGGGCGTCAGGAGGCTGAGCAGAACGGGTGTCCGTAAGCGAGTCCACGGACCACCACGCAGGCCCAGAGCCCGGCCAGGGGTCCGTGGGAGGGTGAGCCCTGCGGTCGGGGGGTGATGGCTCTGGGGGGTCGAGCTCTGGGACGAAGGGGACGAGCAGGTCCGGGGATGAGGGCTGCGTTGCAGACAGAGCTGGCTCGGGGCCTGGGCGCCACCTGGCGTCGACTCGGGCAGCTCACGCCTCAGCTGTGGCTCTTCCTGGTCTGATTTTGGGGACAAAAAGCCACAGGTGGCCGGGCGCGGTGGCTCGGGCCTGTCCTCCCAGCACCGTCGGAGGCCAACGCAGGAGGATTGCCTGAGCCCTGGGGTTCCAGACCAGCCTGGCCAACAGCGAGACCCTCTTCTCTGTAAGAATTTTTTTTTTTTTTTTTTGGAGACAGAGTCCGACTGTGTCGCCCAGGCTGGAGTGCGGTGGTGCGATCTCAGCTCACTACAACCTCCGCCTCCCGGGTTCAAGCCATTCTCCTGCCTCAGCCTCCCGAGTAGCTGGGATGACAGGTGCACGCCACGATGGCCCAGCTAATGTTTGTAGTTTTAATAGAGACGGGGTTTCACTATGTTGGCCAGGCTGGTCTTGAACTCCCAACCTCAGGTGATCTGCGCGTCTCAGCCTCTCAAAGTGCTGGGATGACAGACGTGAGCCACCGCGCCCAGCCCTGAGGTGAACATTGTTAAGATTTGGTTCTGGCCGGGCGCGGTGGCTCACGCCTGTAATCCCAGCACTTTGGGAGGCCGAGGCGGGCGGATCACGAGGTCAGGAGATCGAGACCATCCTGGCTAACACGGTGAAACCCCGTCTCTACTAAAAAATACAAAAAACTAGCCGGGCGAGGTGGCGGGCGCCTGTAGTCCCAGCTACTCGGGAGGCTGAGGCAGGAGAATGGCGGGAACCCGGGAGGCGGAGCTTGCAGTGAGCTGAGATCCGGCCACTGCACTCCAGCCTGGACGACAGAGCCAGACTCCGTGTCAAAAAAAAAAAAAAAAAAAAAAAAAATTTGGTTCTGTTTCCGCAGTGCTATATAGGGCTAGAAGATTATCACCAAATGTCACCAAAATGTGTAAGTATACACACACATGCACACACATTTGTGAGGGTGTGTAGGCACGCATGCATGGACAGTAGATACACATGTGTATGTCTGTATATAGACGTTTGTGTTTCTCAAAATTGTACCAAAAATGGATGCATGGCCGGGCGCGGTGGCTCACGCCTGTCATCCCAGCACTTTGGGAGGCTGAGGCGGGTGGATCACTGGAGGTCAGGAGTTCGAGACCAGCCTGGTCAACGTGGAGAAACCCCGTCTCTACTAAAAACATGAAAATTAGCCAGGTGTGGTGGCAGGTGCCTGTAATCCCAGCTACTCGGGAGGCTGAGGCAGGAGAATCGCTTGAACCCGGGAGGCGGAGGTTGCAGTGAGCCAGTTTGTGCCACTGGGTTTAAGTGATTCTCCTGCCTCAGCCTCCAGAGTCCATGGGATGACAGGCACCCGCCACCACACCCGGCTAATTGTTTTGTTATTTTTAGTAGAGACGGGTTTTCTCCATGTTGGCCAGGCTGGTCTCGAACTCCCGACCTCAGGTGATCCGCCCTGATCCTTTGGGATCCGCCTCGGCCTCCCAAAGTGTTGGGATGACAGGCCTGAGCCACCACGCCCGGCCTGAAAACTTTTTTTTTTTTTGAGGCAGGATTTTGCTGTGTTGCCCACACTGGAGAGCAGTGGTGCGATCTCTGCTTACTTCAGCCTCTCCCACCCGGGCTCAAGCGATCCTCCCACCTCAGCCTCCTAAGTAGCTGGGACTCCAGGCGTGCACCATCACACCTGGCTACTGTGTGATTTTTTTTGTTGTTTATTTTTTTTTCATGGAGACAGAGTCTCAGCCTGTGTTCCCCAGGCTGGTCTCAAACTCCCGGGCTCAAGCAGGTCTCCGCACGTGGCCTCGGAAACTGCTGGATTCCAGGCCTGAGACTGCACCTGGCCTGTCTTGTGACATTTTTTTTTTTTTTTTTTTTTTTTAATTTTTTTTTTTTATTTTTTTTTTTTTTGAGACGGAGTCTCGCTCTGTCACCCAGGCTGGAGTGCAGTGGCCCGATCTCAGCTCACTGCAAGCTCCGCCTCCCGGGTTCACGCCATTCTCCTGCCTCAGCCTCCCAAGTAGCTGGGACTACAGGCGCCGCCACCTCGCCCGGCTAAGTTTTTGTATTTTTAGTAGAGACGGGGTTTCACTGTGTTAGCCAGGATGGTCTCGATCTCCTGACCTCGTGATCCGCCCGTCTCGGCCTCCCAAAGTGCTGGGATGACAGGCGTGAGCCACCGTGCCCGGCAATGTGACATTTTTAACTTAAAACCTACCGTACACCAAGCGCAGTGGCTCACGCCTGGAATCCCAGCGCTTTGGAAAACAGCAAAAACCAAACCAAACCATAGGCTGAACGTGCTCTGGGCAAGCACCGTGTGGGCCGCCCAGAACGGGATGAGACGCGTGTCTCCGATCGAGTTTGATCCACGCGTCCGCCGGGCTCCTGAGAGCAGGTCGGGATGTGAGTGGCACCTGGGGCGGGGGGGGGACTAAGTCCTGGTCACCCCTGGTGCTTTTCGTAAGGAAACTGAGTCACAGCCCAGCTGTGGTCCTGCTGGTTGGAGCAGAGGCGGATCCGTACGGTGCAGACGCGATGGGAATTTTGGTTTTCATCGTTCATGAGAAGCTTTATTTATTTATTTATTTTTCTTTTTGAGACGGAGTCTCGCTGTGTCACCCAGGCTGGGCGCAGTGGTGTGATCTCAGCTCACTGCAACCTCCGCCTCCCGGGTTCAAGCGATTCTCCTGCCTCAGCCTCCCGAGTAGCTGGGATTCCAGGCACCTGCCACCACGTCCGGGCTAATTTTTGTATTTTTAGTAGAGACGGGGTTTCACCACGTTGGACAGGCTGGTCTCCATCTCCTGACCTCAGGGGATCCACCTGCCTCGGCCTCCCAAAGTGCTGGGATGACAGGTGCGAGCCCCCGCGCCCGCCCGTGAGAAGCTTTAAGTCAGTGCAGTGGCACGTGGATGGTGCAGGGCCGCAGGCTTCAGGTTCCTTTTGATTCTGCAGGGACCGCCCCGCCATTCGGGGTCAGAAATACCTGTGTGTCAGGGGCAGGTGTGAGCCGTGTCCGTGTGCGTCCCGCGGTGGCTCACACCTGGAATCCCACTGCCTTGGGAGACCGAGTGGGGATGGGAGTTCAAGACCAGCCTCGGCAACATACTGATACCCCCATCTCTTAAAAAAAAAAAAGAGCTGGACATGGGTCCTGTAGTACCAGCTACTCGGGAGGCTGAGGTGGGAGGATGGCTGCCCGTCTCGGCCTCCCGAGTAGCTGGGGTGACAGGTGCCGCCACCATGTCCCTCTGATTGTAATTCTTCCCAGACACGAGGTTTCTCCATGTGGCCCAGGCTGGGCTCAGACTCCTGAGCTCAGGGGATCCCCCCACATCGGCTTCCCGAGGCGCTGGGGGTCCAGGTGTGCAGACGGTTCTTCGTCTACACGCGTCCCTGGATTTCCTGCCACGGGGATACAAATAGACGCCCGCGGTGTGGGGACCTGGCTCCGCACCTGCACCTGCGTGTTTCCTGCACGGGCCCCAGAACCCTGGGACGGGATCCCTGTGGTGTGACGAAGTCAGTGGCCCCTCGGTGAGGCTGGGGGATGGGAGGGGGCGGCATCCAGGCTGGGCCCCGAGGCCTGGCTCCCTCACCGTGTCCCCCTCACCGTGTCCCCCTCACCGTGTCCCTGAGGTCCCACAGGCTGGTGACAGGTGGCTGAAGGCCACGTTCCAGTCAGGGCGCCGGCCTCACGTGTGTCCCTGGTTCCTCCCCTCTGTCCCTTCCCCACCCCCAGTCCGTGCCCCCCATTCCCCCCACCGTCCCCCCATACCCACCACCCCTCCTCTCCCCCCCTCCACTCCCCTCTGCCCGCCCACCCCTCCCCTCGTGTCTCCCCACCCCCCTCGTGTCTCCCCACCCCCCTCTTCTCTCCCCACCGCTCCCCTCCTCTCTCCATGCCCCATCTCTCCCTTGAGTCCTTGGGTTTGGTCCTGGCCACACTCCTACCTGACTGGCCCCATCCTGTCCTTCAGGGCAGGGACAGCCGATGCCCTCCACCTCCCCCATCGCTTTTGTGCCTCCGCCCCCTCCCCACGTAGGCCCGGCGTCCCATAGGCACCACAGCCTGGGGAGTCGGGGGCACCGCGGAGCCCTAAGCATCAGGGTAAGCCGTGGTCTTAAGAAGTCAGTGTGTCTCACAGTCCCAAAAGGTTGGGGTACCCCCGGCCCTCATGTTCAGAGCACTCTACGGTCCCACAGGGTTGGGGTGCCCCATGGCCCTCATGTTCAGGGTACCCTACGGTATTAAAGTTGGGGTACCCCACAGCCATCATGTTCAGGGCACCCCACAGCCCTAATGTCCAGGGCACCCCACAGTCCTGAAGGGTCAGGGCACCCCCGGATGAGGGGAGGTCAGGAGGGTCAGTGCCCGGGTGGACGTCCTGTCACCCCACCCTGTGAGGCACGGCCCGTGTCCCTGACTCCGACGTTGGGGGAGGTGAGCACGGAGCAGGTTCCCGTGGCACATTATTTATTTATTTGAGACGGAGTCTCGCTCTGTCGCCCAGGCTGGAGTGCAGTGGTTCGATCTCGGCTCACTGCAACCTCTGCCTCCCGGGTTCAAGCGATTCTCCTGCCTCAGTTTCCCATGTAGCTGGAATTACAAGTGCCTTCCACCACACCTGGCCAGTTTTTGTATTTTTAGTAGAGACGCGGTTTCACCGTGTTGGCCAACATGGTCTCGATCTCCTGACCTCAGGTGATCCACCCGCCTCGGCCTCCCAAAGTGCTGGGATGACAGGCCTGAGCCACCGCGCCCGGCCCCCATGGCATTGCTAGAGTCGCATGTGGCAGGTATGTTTGCTCGAGTTCCGGGTCAGCACCCCCGTGTGCACAGGTCGTGTGGCTGCTGCGCTGTGCCCGGCGGCTCCCACCTGTCATCCCAGCGTTTTGGGCGGCCGGGGTGGGATCACTTAAGCCCAGGACCAGCCTGGGCAGGAGAGGGGGGGCCCAGTTTTCTATTAAAGGCCGGGTGCAGTGACTCACGCCCGTCATTCCAGCACTTTGGGAGGTCGAGGCGGGCAGATCACGAGGTCAGGAGTTCGAGACCAGCCTGGCCAACACGGTGAAACCCCGTGTCTACTAAAAATACAAAAATGAGCCGGGCGCGGTGGCGCAGGCCTGTAGTTCCAGCTACTCGGGAGGCCGAGGCAGGACAATGCCGGGAACCCGGGAGGCGGAGGTTGCGGTGAGCCGAGATCACACCACTGCACTCCAGCCTGGGCCACAGAGCGAGACTCCGCCTCACAACAGACAAAAGAGGAGCAGCGTGGAGCCTGCCCGTTTGGAATCGCTGTGGCCAGGCGGCCGCTCCTGTAAGCCCCGCTTCCTGCCCTTGGTCCCCGAGTGTCCTGCGGGGTTTGTGTGAGTCCCTGGGGGCCGAGGCCCTGGCGGGGAGGACGGGGGCCTCCGTGTCCCCCCCGTGAGCTGCCGGCCGTAGGTACCGCTGAGGCCCGCCTTGCTTGCGGGGCAGGGGTCTGTGTGCTGGGGTTTGAGGGACGGGCCCGGGAGGCCTGTGGGGGGAGGGCTGTGGGGGGCTTGTCCGAGCGGGACCTGCTGTGCCTGCACCTCTGGGGTCTCCTTTCCCGACGGGGCCTCGCCCCCTCCTCTGGCTGCTCCCTGAGGTCAGGCCGGGCCACGCTGGGGAAACGGGGCGGCTGTGTCCCCACAGAGGGGCTGTTGTCTGGGGCACGGGTGGGCAGGACCCCCTCGCGGCGGCGGCCCGGGCTGCTGTGGGACCCGATACAGGGGTGGAGAGAGCTACGCCCTGGTGAGGACACGGCCGGCGAGCGGCAGCCCCCGGCGGACACGTCCTGGGGCCCGGGGTGCGGTCGGGTGCTGTCCCCGAGACCAGAACGGCGGCTGCCCAGGCTCCGGGTGGCGTGTGTGGTGCGGAGGCCGAGCCTGGGGGAAGCTGTGGCTTCTACAGAGGGTGCCGGGGTTAGGGCATCGCTGCCCTGCCGGGGTCGGCCCGCGGGTCACGGGGAGCTGGGTTCGAGGCCCCCGCGGGAGCCACGCAGCAGCGTCTGGCCGGGTGAGGGGCCGCGTCTACGGCTTCGGGCTGGGCAGGGCCGTCTGTGCCACGCGGGGTCGGGCCGGCCCGGGGGGCTGCGTCCCCGTCACCCACAGACGGGCCCCTGTGCCACGTGGGGTCTGACCCCTTGGCCTGGGCGGGGCGGCACGTGGGCACCGCGCTGGGGACGACCTCCAGCCTCTGCTCCTTCCCCGGCTCTGAGAGTCCCGAGGGCCTCCCTGCTCCCCCCCCGGGGCCGTGTCTCCTCCGACAACTGCTGGGCGCGGCTGGTCCGGCTCCGTCCAGTTCCTGCGTCTGATGCCCCCAGTTCTCCCCCAACGCCCCGTCTCCCTCTTCTCCGTCTCACAGCTGTCCAGGCCCCGTCCCCCGCCCCAGGCTGGGCCCCTCGTTCTGGGGAGCTCCCGTGTTCCCAGGCCCGTCCCTGCCGCCCCTGGGGACGGCGCTCGGGGGGCCGCTCTGGCGCCAATGCCGGGAGCCTGGGGTGCCCCCGTGGACGCGCTGGGATCTGACACGAAGGGACCCTGCGAGGGAGGGAGGGAGAGGGGGGCCGGCTGAGTCCCTGCTGGGGGATCTCCAGGGGTGACGGCCGTCAACCGCAGGGCGCCCGGGACGGCCATTCCCGGGGGGGTGGGGATGCCACAGGCGCCCCCGCCGAGCCCTGGAACGTCCTGGCCCCTGTCCTGGAGGGACGCCGGCCGCTGGCCACTGTCAGGGTGACCCGGGTGCTTGTTTTGTGGGGACCCCCGGCCCCCCGCACGTGGGCTGTCAGGGGAACGGACCCTTAGACCAAGTGGGGGCAGGACTGCTGGGCTCTGGGTCTCCCCACCGCGCCGCTGTCCATGGGGACCCCCACTTCCCCGGCCGAGGCTGAGCGTGCACGGCCGGCCCTGGTGTGGCCCAGGGCATCGGGGCCGCGGCTGGGGGAGGAGGGGGCGCTTGGGGGATGCGGTGAGTACGGGGGTGTCGGAGGCTGTGCGGGGGCCTCACCAGGGACGTGGGTGGGGGACGCTGTTCCTTTCACGGCCCCAGGGAGCCCTCTGATGTCTCAGCCTTGAACCCCCAGCCTTCAACCCCCCATTGGGGGCCTCCTCCCGTCAGCGTGGGAGGTGGAGGGTTCCGGTCAGAGGTGAACCCCCCGCTTCGGCCCCCTCAGTCCCATGACCACGGCCGTGGGGGGCCCTGAGGTGGTGGGGGGTGGACTTGCCCGCCCAGACGGGCTCCCCCGAGCGCGGGGCAGGGTGGGCCCCCAGGCCGTGGCTCCCGGTGCCATTTCCCTGCGGCGGCCACCGTCGGACCCTCCTGCCCGGCACCCGTCCTGTTGGGGGGCCCTGACCCTTCGCAGACCCAGGTGGGGGCGTCCCCCGGGAAATCCGGGGACACCTGGAGACACTGAGGACACGTTTGGGGCAGCGGCCGTTCCCCAGGAGGTGCTGCCACGTCCCCCCCGCCCCCAGCCTCCGTCGCCGTCTCTCCTCGGGGTCGCAGGGACCGCCTGTGCGTCCGGCTCCTTCACAGCCAGGGCTGCGGTGGGTGGACGGGGCGTGTGCGCAGCTCTCGGGGTGCTCCCGCCCCGCCCGCCTGTTACCGGCCGTGTGGCCACGTCCCTGTCCGGGGGGAACATTTTGTCGTGTGCGAGGAACGGGGGTCGTCCCGTGGTCACCACCCGTGACCCTCCCTGGCCTGTGGAAGGAGCAGAGCTGGGCCTGGGCTCAGGCGTGTCGGGCGTCCCTGGAGGGCTCGTGGTCCTCCCTGCACTCAGGGTTGTGCCCGGCGGGGCCTCCGAACCCCCTCGTTCAGGCCCCGACTCGACGCCGGCTCCTTCCTTCCGGGTCCGTTGGCGGCCTTGGCTCCCGGGCTGGGAGGGACCGGCCGAGCCCGCGACTGAAAATCCTCCCAACGTTCGTTCAAAAACGCAAGCGCGATCGCCAGCAACGCTCTTGTCCATCTACACAGAACGTGCAGGCTGCGGCGGAGGCTCCTGTCCGGGGCGGGGGACGTGCCCGGGAGCCGCGGGTCACAGCTTGGACCTTTCCAGAGAGACGAGGCCCCCGGAACGGCAGAGGCCGGCGGGTGTCCGTGTGGGCGCCTGTCCCAGTCCCGAACGGCCCTCGCGTGTCCCCCGGGCGGGGTCACCAGGCCCCAGAGCCCGAGGCCGGTCCGGCCGCGAACCCATGGCGGGAATTCACAGCACATGCTTCTGTGAATAAATAAAAATTTACCATTCCGTACAAACGCACTCGCTTTCCACAACAGACAAGAGTTTTTACACAAGCCGCGGGGGCCGCGGCCCGTGCAGAGGGGCCCGCGGTGGGGTCCCCGGCGGCCTCACAGCGGCTCCAGGTCCTCGTCCCCGCACGCGTACTCGTACAGGTCCACGGCGCCCAGGGGCGAGGGCGCCTCGAAGAACGGCCTCTGGGCCAGCGGGGACCGCAGGGCACTCAGCTTCTGCTCCACAGGGCTGAGCTCGGCCTCGAACCTGCAACGAGGGGGTGGTGAAGGCGGGGCCGGCGGCGCAGAGCCAGGCCCTGGAGACGGCGCGTGGTTTCCGGGACACGCAGGCCGCCCGGGCCCAGCCTCCAGCACCAGAACGTCCCCTGAGCCGACCCCGAGCTGCTGCCACTGAGCCAGCAACAGGCTCCACGAACGCGCCCGGGGCGTGGCCTGCGGGGCAGGTGGAAACCCGCAGAGCGAGACTGTCTGAAATAAATAAAACCAGGCCCCCACGGGGTCACTGGTGAATTCTACCAGACACTGAGGGAAGACGTCACGGGTGCCGCACACAAACTCCTCCAGAAACTACGGGGAGAGCAGCCTGCCCCCCGTTCCGTGCGCCAGCATCACCCTGATACCCGAGCCAGACCACGACATCCCAGGAAAAGCCACAGGCCGGGCTCGGTGGCTCAGGCCTGCACTCCCAGCGCTGTGGGGGGCCGAGGCGGGAGGATCGCCCGAGGTCAGGAGTTTGAGACCAGCCCAGGCAACATAGCGAGACTCTGTCTCTAGAAAACAAAAAATTAGCCGGGCGCTGGGAGACACTCCCGTAGTAATTAGCCGGGCGTTGGGGGCGGCACCCCGTAGTAATTAACCAGGCGCGGGGGGCACCCCCGTAGTAATTAGCCGGGCGCGGGGGGACACCGCTGTAACCCGAGGTGCTCGGGAGGCCGAGGGTGGGGAAGTGCTGTGATGACAGCGCTGCCCCCGCCCCGGTGACAGCAAGACAGTGTCTCAAAAAAAATTTATAAACTGCTCCAGATAATCCTTGCAAACAGAGTCCAACCCTATATAAGGATAAAATGAGTAAGATCCATGCTGGGAACACACGGCTGGCTGAAGCCGCCCCGGTGTCACTCACCGGACGGACGGACGGACGGACAGAGGAACATGGAGCGAAAGCCTCTGAGACACTCAGCCCCGTGTGGGGAAACCTCCGCCCACCAGGAAGAGGCCAGAGCACCCCCCCAGTGACCGCCGTGGGAGGGGAGACGCCCCCAGGACCGGGCACCAGGACGCACACAAACCCGCACCGCTCAGTCAGGCTGGACGTGGTCGGCCCCGACCCCACCCAGCAGCGTCCAGGCCGCGCAGCGGGCAACAGAAAGCAAGAGACGGCCACGCGGGCGTGAAAAGGAAGACAAGACACGGACCCACTGACGGACACGGGCCGTCCGCGCAGAAAGCCGCACAGAACCGCCAGAGCGTTCAGATCTCCCAAGTGTGTTGCGTCAAGTTGCAAAACACAAGGTCAACCAGTCGTATTTCCATGGCCGCCAACGAACCAGCGGAACCGGGAATCTTAAAAGTACCGTTTACACCCCCAAAGTGGGGCGGGGGACAGTGGGCTGGTCCCGCCCCGCATCCCCGCGCCCCCCTCACTGTGCCCGGTGTCCCTGCACTGTCCGCCGCACCCCCTGTGCCCCGCACCCCCCTCACTGTGCCCCGCGCCCCCCCCACTGTGCCCCGCGCCCCCCCCACTGTGCCCCGCGCCCCCCCACTGTGCCCCGCGCCCCCCTACTGTGCCCCGTCCCCCGCACCCCCCTCACTGTGCCCCGCGCCCCCCTACTGTGCCCCGTGCCCCCGCCCCCCCCTCACTGTGCCCCGCGCCCCCCCACTGTGCCCCGCGCCCCCCCTACTGTGCCCCGTGCCCCCGCACCCCCCTCACTGTGCCCCGCGCCCCCGCACCCCCTCACTGTGCCCCGCGCTCCCCACTGTCCCCCAAGTCCCCGCACCCCCTCACTGTGCCCCGCGCCCCCGCACCCCCCTCACTGTGCCCCGCGCTCCCCACTGTCCCCCAAGTCCCCGCACCCCCCTCACTGTGCCCCGCGCCCCCGCACCCCCCTCACTGTGCCCCGCGCCCCCTCACTGTCCCCCGAGTCCCCGCACCCCCCTCACTGTGCCCCGTGCTCCCCTCACTGTCCCCCGAGTCCCCGCACCCCCTTACCTCCTCACTGTGCCCCGCGCCCCCGCACCTCCCTCACTGTGCCCCGCGCCCCCTCACCGTCCCCCTCACTGTGCCCCGCGCCCCCTCACCGTCCCCCTCACTGTGCCCCGCACCCCCCTCACTGTGCCCCGCACCCCCCTCACTGTCCCCCGCGCCCCCCGGCCGCGCGCTCACCCGTCCTCCCAGGGCTCCCCCGCCGTCTCCTCGGCCACCAGGATGTCGTACTCCTCGGCCGCGTACTTCTCCCAGTCCGAGAGCTCGGGGCCGCTGCCGTCACTGTCCTGGGGGAAGCGCACGCGTCACGTCACGCACCCGCCTGGCGCGGCCCCGCCCGCGCGCCCCCCGCACTCACCCTGAGCAGCGAGATCTGCTCCTTCTGCTCGTGGTCCAGGTACTTCTCGATGTTGAAGAAGGTGTCGAAGAACACGCCGGCCAGCTTGCAGCGCTTCAGGTCCCGCAGCGTGATCCTCCCTGCGGGGAGGGGACGTGTCCCAGGCGTGAGCCCGGCCTCACCTTCGGGCCGGCTGTGGGCTGTGCGGCGCGCGCCTCGGGTCACACGCGCGTAAGGACGCGGCCCGAGGCTCCGGGCTCTCCCGCCACGGGTCGGACGGGACAGGCGGACACGCGCGTGGTTCTGGGCGGGGACTGAGGTGTGGAGGCCGCGGTGCGGAGACGGCTCGGGCCACCTGTGCCCCGAGGACGCAGGGACGGGACGTGGTGCAGGCGCCCCTGGATGTGAAATGACAGAGCCCGGAGCTCCCCACGCAGGCCGTGGCCAGAGGGTGTCCCGGGGACACCGAGCACCAGGAGGGCCCCAGCCAGGGAGAGGGACGGCTGCAGGGCGGTGCCCGGGCCTCGGAGCCATTTCCAAAGTGAAAGTCCCAGAGCTGGAGTCTGAGATGCAGAAGGAAGCCGAGCAGCGTGGACGCTCCCCTTTGCCTCAGTGGCCCTGGGAAACGGCCGCTCCTACTCTGAGTTGGTGACGAGGCCCAGCACCGCAGGTGTCCGGTCTCACTGCGCAAGAACCTCCTACTCAGGACCTCCCGCACCGGGGCCGGGCCGGGAGGAGCTGGGACGATGGGTGGCAGAACAGGGTTGAGGGGAGGAGACGGAGGGGGGGGGTGTGAGGGGAGGAGGCAGAGGGGTGAGGGAGGAGACGGGGGGTGAGAGGGGAGGAAACGGGGTGAGAGGGAGGAAACGGGGTGAGAGGGGAGGAGACAGGGGTGAGGGGAGGAGGCAGAGGGGTGAGAGGGGAGGAGGCAGAGGGGTGAGAGGGGAGGAGACGGGGTGAGAGGGGAGCAGATGGGGTGAGAGGGGAGGAGACGGGGGGGTTAGAGGAGGAGACAGGGTGAGGAGAGGAGACGGGGTGAGAGGGAGGAGACGGGGGTGAGGGGAGGAGGCAGAGGGGTGAGGGGAGGAGACGGGGTGAGAGGGAGGAGACGGGGGTGAGGGAGGAGGCAGAGGGTGAGAGGAGAGGAGATGGGGTGAGAGGGGAGGAGACGGGGGGGGGGTTAGAGGAGGAGACAGGGGTGAGGGGAGGAGACGGGGAGAGAGGGTTGGACCCCACCCTGTGTGGCATCAGCACAAACGTGGCAACTGGTCCCTCAGCCGGTGCCGACGTCCCCAGTGAGCCCCGGCCTGGGTTCTCCAGGCCACCCTCGGGGGTGTCGACGCCCGAGTAGGAGGTTCTTGCGCCGTGAGACCGGACACCTGCGGTGCTGGGCCTCGTCACCAACTCAGAGTAGGAGCGGCCGTTTCCCAGGGTCCCTCACCCCGGGCCGTCCTCTCTCCCGTCTGTCCCGTCCTCTCGCCCACCCGTCCCCTCACCCTGGGCCCTCCCGGGGCGTCACCTTCGCTCCTCGGCTTGACCAGGTCCAGCATCTGGCAGAGGCAGTCCTGGAAGGGCAGGGCCTCGATGGCCATGCTGTCCAGCCTCCGGCACTGCTCCTCGTAGAAGTACTCGAGCTCGAACATGGACAGGGCGCCGTCCCCGTCCAGGTCCATGCAGCGGAACCAGTACTCGATGCTGTGGCACAGCGAGCTCTGTCGGCCCCGCCCCGGACCCTCCCAGCCCGTGCCCTGCGGCCCCGGGGGCAGCCTCCCAAACAGGCGTGCACGCATCCGCCCGTGCCCTGCAGCCCCCCACCAGACGTGCACGCATCCGCCCGTGCCCTGCAGCCCCCCACCAGACGTGCACGCATCCGCCCGTGCCCTGCAGCCCCTCTGCCAGGCGTGCGCGCATCCGCCCGTGCCCTGCAGCCCCCCACCAGACGTGCGTGCATCCGCCTGGGGACACACGTCACACGGGCGGCTCCCGGCCCTGCACTGAACAAACCCGCACCGCGGCAGGAACCCACCTGGTCGGCGTTTTCTTGTCTTCCTCAGAGATCAAAAACCAGACAAAGTCTGCGTAGCTGATCTTCCCTTCCTTCTGCGCTTTTCTGCCTCTAGACCCCAGGCCAGGATGGAGAGACGAAGATGGTGTCACGGAGAGACTCCCGGGCGTGGAGCCCCTGCCCATGACCGGGGGCGAGAGGGGCCCCCGGCCCAGCCCTCCTCCTGCCCCTCCAGGGAGGACGTGGAGGCCCCGTGGCCAGAGGGCGTTCCCGAGATCCAGGTGGGGTCGGGAGTGCACCTGCACCACGGCCACGGCCGCCTGGAAGCCGGCAACGTCCCCTTCCCGGGGCTCGCTTAGGCCCAGCGCCCGACGAGGACCCCTGACCTGGGGCACGGGCCGCCCCTTCCTCAGACCTCACATGACAGAGTGTCGTGCCCCCCACTTGGCTTTCGGGTGACAGAGACACGTGTCCCCCTCCCCACGGCCAGTCGCTGTGGGAACTCGACAAGCTCGTGTCAGGCAAGGAGGAGCCGGGTCCTCGTGGGGCCTGAGCCGCACGTACCGCGTGACTGCTCCCGAGAAGATCCTGTCGATCATCTTGGTGGAAATGGCTGGAAGGAAGGGGGTTGATGGGCAGCCCGCACCGCGCCTCGGCCCCGATGTCACGACCCCCCCGAGCCGAGCCTGGACGGGGCAAGGACCGAAATGCCCACAGGCGGCCCCGGGGCCCCTGCACAGGCCCCTCCCGGGTGCAGCCACCCCTGCCCTTCGAGCGGACCAGGGGCGCATGAAGCTGACCGTGGTTCATTAAAGGGCGGAACCTTCAGGCCTCACAGGTTTCGCTTCCAGACGCAGAGTGAGGGAGGCCTCAGTGCCATCCCGAAAACAAACACGTTTCAGCCCAAACTCCGCTAACAAGAGGCAAGAGCGGAGGCACCGACGCCGTCAGCTCCGGCCCACGAGGTCCCGCAGCCCGGGCGGCCATCCCTGCGGTCACCCGTGTCCCCGGCACGCACGGGGCCACGACGCCCCCGCTTCAGGCCGCCGTGTGTGAGAAACAGCCCAGCGCGGCCGCACCTGGCATCGCCCGGCCGCACAGGCCATGCTGCCCGGAGACCCAGGGTGGGCACCAGAGGAACAGGGAAAGCCGGGGCGGGCCCGGGGTTCCCAGGGACAGCGAACGCCTGGTTCGGGGCCGATTCCCCGCGGTGAAGCGCTGGCTCGGGCCACACGGGCGGCTGTGCCGAGCTGGGCTCTCCTCGCGGCTACGTGTGGGGTCCAGGGCGCAGGTGGCTCCCTGAACCGGGCACAGGACAAATCCAGGCAATGCTACGTCTGCTCAGGGGCGCGTCCCACGCACGCAGGACTGGGGTCTACGGCGGCCGCGCGGCCCAGGAGCAGCCCCGGGAGACCCGGACGGGCGGAGCTCACATTCCGGGCACCAGGCACGCAAGTCGGCTGCGCGCAACAGATGCCACCGTCACTGGGAAATACTCTTGGTTTTTTTGGGCGGGGGGAAGCAGACTTCAAGGAACCCTTTAGAAAACTCCAGCCGCACAGGCCACAGGCAGGCTCTCGTCCCTGGAAGCTGCACGACTATTACAGGAGCCGGGTGAGGACACCGGGGGGGCGCCGCCTCCCGCGGAGGGATCTGACCGCCCTCTAAGCCCGCGCTCCACCCAGTCGGGGACTGGATGGAAACTGCTCCCGGCCTTGGGGGCTGGAACCTGGAGCTGAGGGACGCGGCTGGTCTGCACGCCCTTGCTCGGGTGTTAACAATGAAGCCGCGCGGGACTGCAGGCCCTCGGGCCGGGTGCGGCTGTCTGAGCCTCAGGACCAGCGGCCCACACGGACCCTGCAGACGCCGGGGGGGACGCCTGGTGCAGAGGCGCACGCAGGGACCCAGACACGCGGGGACCCAGACACGGAGCGGGGAGTGGGGGAGGAGAGGCAGCTGCAGACCCGGGACGCCCTGAGAGAAGAAGGGTCTGCTCGGGTGTCCCCGCGCCGCGCCCGCCCCTCTGCCCCTGCGCACCGTGGTCATTGTGCCGCGCCAGGTCGTGCGCGTCGATGAGCAGGTCGTGGGTCCGTGTCCAGCTCCCAGAACTTGCAGTAGATGACATAGAAGTGCTCGTAGGAGAAGAATTCGGTCAGCTGGTTGATGTCCGCCTCCTCCTCCAGCAGCGCCACATTCTGCCAAAGGACCCAGGCGGCCTGAGCGCGGGGCCTCTGGGGGGACGCCCAAGTCCGGGTGGCTGCGGGCGGGGCAGGGAAGGCGGGGTCGCTCCGAGTGGGGGGCAGCTCTGCGGTGGGGGGAGCTCCAGCACGGGGGGGCTCCCTAGGCGGGCGTGGGGGTGGGGGGCAGCTCTCAGGGAATGAGGCTCGGCTCTCCCTGGTGCCCAGTACGGCCCCCCATTCGCAGATCAACCATGACCCCCAAGTGCAGGCGGCGCTCACCAGCCTGGGGTGGGCAGGGAGCGTGGGGGAGGTGGGGATGGGGGGGGAGTGCGGGGAGGGAAAGGAGGCGGAGGAAAGGAGGGGGAGGGAGGGACGGGAGGACAGGGCGGGCGCGCCGCGCACCTGCAGGAAGGAGCTCCTCCGCAGCTCGGCGCAGGTGATCCTGCCGGACCAGGACCGGTTCACGGTGTAGAAGATCCGCTGATGACCTGCGCGGGCGCCGTCAGTGCGCTGGGTGCGCGAACCCCGAGCCTCGCCCCGCCGGAGACCCGGCGCCGGGGAGAGGGGCGCGGCCTTGGTCTCGGCCGCACCAGCCTCGCCAGGGCCGGACGGGCGGGGAGCGCGGCGGGAAGGGCCCTGCGGAGGCGCCGCCCCAGGCCGCGCAAAGCGGGGAGGGTCTGGCCGGGGGACGCCCCGGAGCTACGCGGGCCCAGGACAGGTGGGAAAGGGGCGCGGCCACCCCGGAAAGCCAGAGTCCCCCAACGCCGGGCTCCCGGGCACGGCAGACACGTTCCCAGGAAACAGCCGCTCCTCCGAAGCTCAAGACCCGGACCCCGCCCGCCCCGGAACCGCCCCCGGCTCACCCCGGCCCCTCCGCTGGGGACCCACCGTGGTGATGTAGCGCGAGTGGAACTCGGACGCCTCCTTCAGGAACGACAGCCCCGGGTGCGTGTTCACCACGTCCTGCGGTGGGAAGAATGAGGGTGCGGTGTAGACGCCGGCCCCTCCTGTGAGGGTGAGGCGTGCAGTGTAGACGCCGGCCCCCCGCGAAGGGTGAGGCATGCAGTGTAGACGCCGACCCTCCCGTGGAGTGTGCGGTGTAGACACCCGCCCTCCTGTGAAGTGTGCGGTGTAGACACCGGCCCCCCGTGAAGGGTGAGGCATGCAGTGTAGACGCCGGCCCTCCCGTGGAGTGTGCGGTGTAGACACCCGCCCTCCTGTGAAGTGTGCGGTGTAGACACCGGCCCCCCGTGAAGGGTGAGGCGTGCCGTGTAGACACCGGCTCTCACCTGCAGGAAGGGGACGAAGTCGTCCTGCACCAGGTAGTTGCAGCCAGGGCTCATGAGCAGATGGACGAACTTGGCCGCGTCGTCGTGGCAGTTGTGGAGGATTCTGGAAGGACAGGATGACTGGCGGCCACCGTCACAGGCGGGGGGGTTTCGACCCCGCAGACACAGGGTGGAACAACAGGGCAGGCCGCCACGCACGACCCGGGCAGGCCTGCGCCACGCGCGGTTTCTCCTCTCACGGTGGCAGCCCCTAGGGGCACCTGTCCTGACGCCAGGGGACCCGGGGACGCCTCCGCCCTCCCGACACGGCCCCGTGCCCGGCCCGGGACTCACTTTCTCCACATGGCGACGAACTTGTGGACGGACACGGAGCCCGTGCGCTCCCCGCCGGCGCCACAGAACAGCGGTCCCTTCCAGTAGAGCGGGCAGCCGCAGGCCTGGGGCAGAGAGGGCAGGAGGGGGCGGTCAGCGGGACCCGGACGCCTGCGCTCCTGCCGCGCTCCTGCCGCGCTCCTGCTGCGCTCCTGCCGCGCTCCTGCTGCGCTCCTGGCGCCTGACCACCGCTGCCTGGAGACCCTCTGCTGCGGCCAGACGGAGCACACACAGCCAGGCACGTCTGGGTATCTGCAAACTCAATGTGGCTTTCGCTCCGGCCTTGGAACCGAGTCAGGAGAGCTGAGCCATGGAGTGCCGGGCACGCAGTCCCCCGACCAGAGACCACACGCGGACACTGTAACCAGAGGCGGCTGCGTCCCCAGTGTCTGCAAACCAAGCGGCGCAGACTAAGAACCAGTATGTGCGGGAAGAAATGGCCCCGTCAGCCAGGCAAGTGGTGAGTCCCACAGCGACGGAAACGTCTCATGGAACGTGTGGGACAGGCCTGCAGCAGAGCCCATGGCAGGTTAAATACAGCCTTAAATACACACGCGAGGAAGGAAAGTTTAACATCAGTCGTCTGCACTTCTACCTCAAAGTCACACACACACGGCAGACATGGAAGGAAAAACAGTCAACAGAGAAAATCAGGAAAATCAAAACTTGATGATTTGAAAGATTCTTAACAATTAATTAACCCTGCTGGGCGCGGTGGCTCAGGCCTGTCATCCCAGCAGTTTCAGAGGCTGAGGTGGGCGGATCACGAGATCAGGAGTTCGAGACCAGCCTGGCCAAGATGGTGCAACCCCGTCTCTCCTAAAAATACAAAAATTATCTGGGCGTGGTGGTGGCGGGCGCCTGTAATCCCAGTTACTCAGGACGCTGAGGCAGGAGAATCGCGTGAACCCGGGAGGTGATAGAAAGAGACTGTCTGAAAAAAATAAAAACAAATCACACACACTGTCTACAAAGCAAACTACAGAGCACGGCTGGGTGAAATCAAAGACGACCTAAACGTGGTAACATGGACCTCACTGCACTGCTGAGTTTACAGGCTGCAATTTCTTCCAGACGATTCTGCTGACCCACAGAATCCACACAACCCCCACCCACAGAGTCCACGCAGCCCCCAGCCACAGAGTCCACGGAGCCCCCACCCACAGAGTCCACGCAGCCCCCACCCACAGAGTCCACGCAGCCCCCACCCACAGAGTCCACGGAGCCCCCACCCAGAGTCCACGGAGCCCCCACCCAGGGTCCACGGAGCCCCCACCCAGGGGCCACGCAGCCCCCACCCAGAGTCCACGCAGCCCCCACCCACAGAGTCCACGCAGCCCCCACCCAGGGTCCACGCAGCCCCCACCCAGGGTCCACGCAGCCCCCACCCACAGAGTCCACACAGCCCCCACCCACAGAGTCCACACAGCCCCCACCCAGGGTCCACGCAGCCCCCACCCACGGAGTCCACGCAGCCCCCACCCACGGAGTCCACGCAGCCCCCACCCACGGAGTCCACGCAGCCCCCACCCAGGGTCCACGCAGCCCCCACCCAGGGTCCACGCAGCCCCCACCTACATGCACCAAGGGCTTGTTGTTTTGGGGGGTGCAGTATACACTGACAGGCTCGCATGAAAACTTATAAGGGAACACAAAAGAACTTCCAGGGGACCACGTTGATGGATGTAAGAGTCTCCCTCAGGCACTGGTGGGCTAAGGGAGCAAGGGAAGGAAGTGAGCTGGGACAGAGCAAACCCACTTCACACACACTGAATACCGGGGGATCCCAGCCCGAGGGTGAAAGGCCAGACAGCGGCCCTCCTGGAAGGAAACGAGAGGCTCTGCCGTGGCCAGGGTTTCTTGAACGGGGCACACGTGCACCCCCTGAAGGAAGAGAGTGGCCAGCTGCCCCGCCCCGGCCCGGGACTCCGGCTCAGCGCCCGGCACGGTGAACAGAATGACAGGAGAAGCCACCGAGAAAGAGGCCCAAACACGACAGAGCCCGGACGTGCACTGCCCTCCAGAGAGGGGCGCACGACGGCCGGCAGACAAGGGGGAGCGCGCCCGGCACTGGCGCTGGTGAGGGCAGGGTTCACGGGGCATGGAGCGGTGCCAACACGAGCACGAGACGCGGCTGAGTCAGAAAGGACTGAAGATGCCAGGTCGGGCAAGGCTGCCAGGCGGCCGGGCGTCCGCGTTGCTGGGAGAACCGGGACGCCGCACAGCTGCCGGGAAAGTGGACCACAGGGGGGCTGAGCATAAGCCCCGAGGCCCGGCCGGGGCATCCGTCTCCCAGAAGCATGAGGCCCGAGGCCCGGCCGGGGCATCCGTCTCCCAGAAGCACACCAGCGGGAAGACGGCCGATGCCCGTGACAGCCGCACGGATGCGGACGCCGGCTGCCTGATGCACGGTGCCCCGGGGAGAGAAGCCTGATGCCAGAGCAGGGGCTGGAGGAATAAACTGACGGCAGCATCGTCCGGACAGGTGCGAGGCGGGAGTGACCACGGGGCGTGGGGGGACTTGGAGGGGCTGCACGCCACAGCACGGCGCGCAGTGCGGCGACGGGAAAAGATGCTATCCGGCTGGTGCACCTGTGGATGACGCGAAGGCAGCCGTGTGGAGCGGAGGGGCCGGGCCCTGCAGGATGCACAGGCACGTGCCGGCTCCCGTGACGAGGATCCCGAGGGAGCTCAGCCCTGGCCACCTGGGAAGGGTGCCGTGGTGCAGCGGGAGGGAACGAGCTGGGTGCCAGGCACTGGGCCCTTGGGCTGGTGCTGGTCTCATGCTTCTGACCTCATCAGGCCGTTCTGGCTCACGGGCCATGCAGATTTCAGACCCCAAGCACTCAACACCCAGGAATGTGGGGATGTGTCAGCCTTCACATCTGTGCTCCTCATGGTGTGCAAGACACACCGTAATGACCTGGTGGCACGGACGGAGCATCAGATGTATCCAGTCCTACCGCCTGGCGCCAAGTCTACCCGGTCCTACAGGCTACAGTCAGATCTACCCGGTCCTACAGGCTACAGTCAGATCTACCCGGTCCTACAGGCTACAGTCAGATCTACCCGGTCCTACAGGCTACAGTCAGATCTACCCGGTCCTACAGGCTACAGTCAGATCTACCCGGTCCTACAGGCTACAGTCAGATCTACCCGGTCCTACAGGCTACAGTCAGATCTACCCGGTCCTACAGGCTACAGTCAGATCTACCCGGTCCTACAGGCTACAGTCAGATCTACCCGGTCCTACAGGCTACAGTCAGATCTACCCGGTCCTACAGGCTAGTGTCAGATCTACCCGGTCCTGCAGGCTAGACTCAGATCTACCCGGTCCTGCAGGCTAGACTCAGATCTACCCAGTCCTGCAGGCTAGACTCAGATCTACCCAGTCCTGCAGGCTAGACTCAGATCTACCCGGTCCTACATGCTACAGTCAGATCTACCCAGTCCTACAGGCTACAGTCAGATCTACCCGGTCCTACAGGCTACAGTCAGATCTACCCAGTCCTACAGGCTAGACTCAGATCTACCCAGTCCTACAGGCTACAGTCAGATCTACACAGTCCTACAGGCTAGCGTCAAATCTACCCGGTCCTACAGGCTACAGTCAGATCTACCCAGTCCTACAGGCTAGACTCAGATCTACCCAGTCCTACAGGCTACAGTCAGATCTACACAGTCCTACAGGCTAGTGTCAGATCTACCCGGTCCTACAGGCTACAGTCAGATCTACCCAGTCCTACAGGCTAGCGTCAAATCTACCCAGTCCTACAGGCTACAGTCAGATCTACCCAGTCCTACAGGCTAGACTCAGATCTACCCAGTCCTACAGGCTAGAGTCAGATCTACCCAGTCCTACAGGCTAGACTCAGATCTACCCAGTCCTACAGGCTAGTGTCAGATCCACCCAGTCCTACAGGCTAGTGTCAGATCTACCCAGTCCTGCAGGCTACAGTCAGATCTACCCAGTCCTACATGCTACAGTCAGATCTACCCAGTCCTGCAGGCTAGTGTCAGATCTACCCAGTCCTACAGGCTACAGTCAGATCTACCCAGTCCTGCAGGCTGGAGTCAGATCTATCCGGTCCTGCAGGCTACAGTCAGATCTACCCAGTCCTGCAGGCTAGAGTCAGATCTCCCCAGTCCTGCAGGCTGAGTCAGATCTACCCGGTCCTGCAGGCTACAGTCAGATCTACCCAGTCCTACAGGCTACAGTCAGATCTACCCAGTCCTACAGGCTACAGTCAGATCTACCCAGTCCTGCAGGCTACAGTCAGATCTACCCAGTCCTGCAAGCTACAGTCAGATCTACCCGGTCCTACAGGCTGGCTACACGGTGATCCTTTTTGTTTCCTGAGTCATGGTCTTGCTGTTGCCCAGGCTGGAGCGCAGTGTGTGATCCCAGCTCAGTGCAGTCTCAACCTCACGGGCTCAAGCCATCCTCCCACCCTAGCCTCCCAAGTAGCTGGGACCACAGGTGCGTGCCACCATGCGTGGCTATTTTTTTTTTTTTTTTGTAGAGTGAAGTCTATGTTGCCCGGGCTGGTCTGGAACCCTTGGCCTCAAGCCATCCTCCCGCCTCGGCCTCCCAAAGTGCTGGGACTACAGGCTGACACCACAGCCAGAGACAGCTGCATCCCCGGCGTCTGGGTGATGAGAACTGAGCGTGGGAGTGCTGGGCACACAGTCCCCCCACCACACCAAACCCGAAAATTACCTCCAAACTAATTAGCTCACAATTAAAAAAAAAAAATCCCGAAGTAAATGGAGACAATCAACTCCAAAATGCAAAAGACACAAAGGAAAGGAGTTAATCCTAAATGTTACAAAATCCTTATCTGAAAGGGAGTAACACACCAGATAACCTGATTCGACTCTCAAAGTCTTTTCGGGACCCACACACAGAAAGACCAACTCCGGGTGGGGCCGGGCCGAGCCGCGGCACGCCCACCGCACAGCCAGGACGGGGATCGAGGCCGCCAGCCCCGACAGTCCCTTCCGACCCTCCGCACCCCAGCGCGGCGACAGCCCCCAGGCCTCCTGCCCGGGGCTCCGGTTCACC